GGAGGGGTCTGATTGGCTGCTGCTGGGCGTGGTGGCACCCAGACAAGAGCTGATGGAAGCAGCTTACCTTTGACCAGACTTGTAAACAGCACATCTACAGATGATCTTTCCTCAACAGTGTCCAGTGTTTCTCTTTTAAAGTTCAATGGAAGTCGACTCTCATCAAGTCCATCAAATATAAATGCTAGCTTATGTTCCTTATATAACTTTGATTTCTCCAGGTCCTTCAATTCAGGATAAAATTTCAGCAGAAACTCGTGGAGATTGACCTCTTTATCTTTAATCACGTTGATCTCTCTGAATGGAAGCAGGAACACACACTCTATATCCTGATTGGTGTTTCCTTCTGCCCAGTCCAGGATGAACTTGTGCACAGAGACAGTTTTTCCGATGCCAGCGACTCCCTTGGTCAGCACAATTCTCTCCTCTTTGTTTTTCCTCAGTTCAGTAAATATATCATTGCATTTGATTGGTTTGTCCTGTGTTTTTTTGTTCTTGTAAGCATCATCAATCTTCAGAATCTCATGTTGCTGATTGACATCTTTCATCTCTCCCTCTGTGATGAACAGCTCTGTGTAAACAGTCTTGAGATCTGTGTCATTGTCTTTGTTGCCCTCAAAAATACATTTAGCTTTCTTCTTCATGTTGTTTTTGTGAGTTTTCAAGAAGTTTTGCAGCTCTATAATTAAAAACAAATAAATAAGATTGAAAAAAAAAAACATTAAATAAATTTGACAAATATAATATTTTTCATATCAGCATGATCTGATGCAGATAGATTACATTCATACAGCTGAAAACAGCACAGTCCATCCCTAAAAACGTCATTTCAATTTTACAATTTCTGAATATGTTTTTTTTTATGTTCTTTCCAGATGACTTATTGAGTCAGATCATCTTTAGGTCATGCTGACTAATGTTACTAAAAGCTGATGAATGGTTTCCACATCATCTAGCACATCAAACAGGATGTGAGGCTGTATTTACAACATGTTTTGACCTGCTTAAATGAACCTTTGCATGTGTGATTGTAATCATGTCTTGATGACACCGAATGAATTTGGTGACAGTGCCACCTATTGGTCAACTTTAATAAACAATTGTATTACATTATAAGATGTTTAATTAAGGCTTTTAGTCCATTGCAGACTGGGAATCACTGGGGACATTCTGTTCTATTCATTATATTTTTATAAGATCTACCGCTGATGTGATTGGCCCTGTAATTGCTGCTTCAGTTAAATTTTCTCTTGTTTCAATTTACAGACAGTGATTGTTATTTACTCCAGAGCTGACCTGAATCAGCTCCAACAGGGACAGATGTGTTCGTATTGCCCTCAGCCTGAGCTGTGAGAGAGAGAGAGAGAAATAATGACTGAGAAACATAAATCACACAATTACATCACCAAAGAGGAAAGTTTATGTCAACCATCACACTGCTAAACAGTCAATCATGCTACAGTCACAGTGAATTAAACATTACCTTTCTTGTGTTTGTTCTCTAACTGTTCAGCCAAGTTATTCTGGTTCATCTTCCCCACGATGCCGACCGTGATCTTCACAGCTTCTTCTGGTCCAAAACACGCCACCATCTTTTCCACTGTTTTTATCCTATCAGCGTTCTCCATGTCAGACTTTGATATACACTCATGATGTTCCTGTAAGTGCCACTGAAACTCCTTCAGTTCAGCAGCTTCCAGCTCCTTCAGTGAGTTCACAAGCAGCTCTTTAACTGACGCCATCGTCCTTCACCCACTCACAGCTGCAGGACAAGAAGAAAAAGATCTGAAATTTCACTCTGAACATGGGGACCTAAACGCTCAGATGTTATTTGAATCATGAAGCTGTGAGCAGAGACAAATTAATCATCAGAAGTTTGTGTGAATCAAATCTGTTGAAATTACTTTAAAATATTAAATAATTTATTAATTAAAAAAACTACTGATGTACATAATGTCTCAATGCTGTCTAATACTGTAAGTGTATGACACTTTTAAATCTACAGGTATATATGCCTTTATCTTATGAAGTAGTATATATGTATATATATATATATAGTGTGTGTGTGTATTAGTTATTGCTACCTGATCAATAATAATAGGTACAAGCTAATAAGGTGTATTATCATAAATGAACACTTGTTACTAAACATTGTTTATTATTGAATTATGAGGAGCATACCATTAATGTATAATTGATAAATCATATAGATCAGTAGTATGAACTTTAAAAACTTAGTTAACATGATTCATAACTTAAAAGCAATACTTTTGGTAACAATTTATTTTGATAGTCCACTTTAGATATTTTACTAACTATTAGTAACTTTGCAACTAAAGTACATGTCAACAAACTAATTAACAAAGAAAGTCAAGGGACTACAACCACAGGATGGGAAACAGGAAATGGGGAACAAACTAAAAGTCAACATAATACCAGAGTACAGTGAAGCTTAAAATGCAAAGTATTTGTTACATGTAACATGTGATCCACATGTTGTAAAATAAAATAGGTAAATGTTATAGGTTGTAGTCTGTTTCATACTGTAACAACGGATAACAATACAATATGTCCCCTATGAACGGCATATGCAAATATTATGTAGAACTATTGTTTAAATCAAATTTATGCTTTAAAAGTAAGGCAAGGCAAGGCAAGGCAAGTTTATTTATACAGCACATTTCATACACAATGGTCATTCAAAGTGCTTTACATAAAAGAAAATAAAATAATAATAAAAAAATACAGTGGCGGCTCCTGCCAATTCTCTCAGGGGCGGCAAATGTTTGCATGATTAATGAGGATAGGTCACCCATTCAATTGATAAATTAACGGCTAGTTAAAAATGTAAAGGAAACTGAACTACTATAGTATTCATTAAAAATAAACTGACTCTAACAATCAATCTCTTGCTCTTCTTATGTTTCTATATGCGTGTTAACACAATTCAGCAGCAAATGAAGACTGAAGCCAGGATGTGGTTTTCCCGTACCCACTGTATATATATATATATATATGTATACACATTTAGACGTATAATTAGATTTGTATTAATAGCTGCCTTTCATAAATGTATATAAATAAAAAATTAAACATATGCAAATGAACAGCCATAGCAAAGAGGTCCAGAGTTCAGACAAGAGTTCAGAAATGTTCCCTTTTCAGGGTTTGGCAAAGCCTGGGAGATAAATTGGAGGTTTCGAGGGTTTTACCTCTGGAACACTGCATGTGAGAGTTCCTGAGGACGAAGACTGATTGTCTTCATCTTCCTCCTCCGTGTAAGGGCCTTCCATGGAGACCTGCTTCATCAAGGCATGGCAAGGCAAGTTTATTTATATAGCACATTTCATACACAATGGTAATTCAAAGTGCTTTACATAAAAGAAAAGAAAAAAATTATCACAACAATAAAACAAGGAATTTAAAACTTTGAAAATTATTTAAAAAATTGGTTTAAGAGGTTTAAAATGAATTTAAAACAGTTAAGAATAGAAAATGATTATACATAAAATACAGTGCAATCAGTTTGGACATTGCACAGTGCTCATTCAATAAATGCACAGCTAAACAGATGAGTTTTGAGTCTGCATTTAAATGTGACTATTGTTTTAGCACATCTGATCTCTTCTGGAAGCTGGTTCCAGCTGCGGGTGGCATAATAACTAAAAGCGGACTCCCCTTGTTCCTCTTCAGGAACTCGAGCTGCGTCGAAGCTCTTTGGGAACGCCCTCTGTGTGACCAAGCTCTGAATCACATGTGTAATCAGCCCAATGGAAAGGCGAGACGTCATAGGCGGGTGACATCATTGACCAGGAAGCTTAAAAGCACGTGCGGCGGAGCCGGCGTCAGCTTTCTGTCATTCAGCAAAGCGCTCTGTGTGTGTCAGTCTGATATCTGTTTGTGAGTCTTATTTAGTGTTGTTTGTCACGAAATCACAAGACAAAACCAAACACCCAAGGCGAGGGCAGGCAACGTTCAGGCTGTGTGTTCCTCCCTGCCCGCATTACTTTACGGGTGGGGATACACACAGTTTGTTTGTTGTCTGCTGTGGAGCGAAGCACGCAGAGTCAGCTCTTGAGGGAGCTGACGGCTCGCTTTGGTAGTGTTTGTTACTGCCTTGCTTCGCTCTCAGAGGGCTCTCTTATCTGCTTCCTTAACCACCAGATCCGGCGCCCGCTCTCGGGGTTTCGGAAGCCCGCGCTGCGGTCCTTCCCCGCGAGGAGATGGCACGACGCTCCGCCTGTCTTTCTCAGAGGAGATTGATTTGGAGGGCGTTGATGATCAGCACAAGCATCAGTTAAACAAGCATCAGTTGCACAAGCATATTATGCCTGATATTATAATGAGCTGCATTAATGGGGAGCGGAGCCGATTGTGCTTTTCCCGCTGTTAAGCTCGCCGGGCACGCTCCGAGGAGTGTGTCCGTGCCTGTGATCCTGCGATTGCGGTTCTGCTGCTGCTGAGGCACGGCGGCGACTGAGATCACGGGGATCGCACATGATCTGGCAGACGGGTTGGAGACGGCTCTTCCTATCTCCACCCGTATTCCCTAGATCTAGAGCTTGTTCTTGAGGCTTGGAAGCCCGCGCTGCGGTTCTTCCCCTCTGAGTGAGAGCTCGCTGCTGCGGCCATCTTTCTCTGAGGAGATTGATGTTGCTTGTGTGACTGAGCGGGCTCACGCGCTGCAGAGGCAACGCCTATATTGCATCATTTCGGTTTTGATGTGAATCTTACTACACCAGACCGTATTTACTCTGGTTGGTTGACTGCATTTTAATTCTGAGGAATAAAATTATGTATTTATCTGACTATGAGAAGTTAGATATACAGGGGCTCTTGGGATAAAATTTCTCGAGTGAGAGCACGCGTTTACCTCTCTTCCTCTGAGGAGGTTGAGACGGTCAGCAGAGGCTGCTGGGCAGGAGCAGTCCCAACCTACCGTGTTCCAGCCCCTCATTCTGGGGGTGTCACTTCTCGTACTCCACAGAGTCTAGAGTCAGAGTGGCGTTCCCAGGCCGAAGGCTTCTAGCGAAAGGCGGTTCTGCGGACCGTCATTCTCGCTGGATAGTCTTCGTCGCTAACGTCCTGACGCTTAAGGCCTAGGACTTTTTGAGGGCAGCTCCCTCTGGGGAAGAGCGGTGTACACCGCATTACACGGTGCCCATCTCTCCTCAGTGCCCTCAGGAGATCGGTCTGCCAACCCTGCCGATGTTCTAGGGCGCAGCAGTCTCCGGCGAGCGCTTCTCTCAGTTACCGCCCGGAAACGTAGCGGTGCTAAGAGGCTCACTACCTCTATGGAGGTCCCTAGAGCAGTTAGTACGGCCGTCCCCTGCCGGTCCGCCGCTTCAGGGCACCAAGCTAGCTGCTCTAAGTGCACCAGAGGCCAGTCTCGTGAGACTGGTTCCCTTAGGAAGTCATCTGGCGGTGTGGGAGCCCTTGCCAAGCGTGCTTCATTGGGTCCTGCCCCGAGCAGGCTCTGGTCTAGTCTTCCTAGCAGGGTCTGAGGGCTGTCGTTTTCAATAGGAGACTTTAGCTATGAGAGTCCTGATGCGGTGGCTCAGGACCTCGGAGGGCAGCTCCCTCTGGGGAAGAGCGGAGTACACTGCATTACACGGTGCCCGTCTCTCCTCAGTGCCCTCAGGAGATCAGTTTGCCAACCCTGCCGGTGTTCCAGGGTGCAGCGGTCTCCGGCGAGAGCTTCTCTCAGTTACCGCCCGGAAACATAGCGGTGCTAAGAGGCTCGCGATCTCCACGGAGGTCTCTAGAGCAGCTAGTACGGCCATCCCCTGCCGGTGCGCCGCTTCAGGGCACCGAGCTAGCCACTCTGGTTACACCAGAAGTCAGTCTCGAGAGTCCCTTAGACTATTTGGCAGCGTGGAAACTACTGCCAAACGTGTCTCAGTGGGTCCTGCACACTGTAGTGAGAGGCCACAGAATCCAGTTCGATTCTCCTCTGCCTCAATTCAACGGGGCCTTTCCCACCCTGGTGGGACCCGAGCAGGCTCTGGTAATGGAACAGAAGTAGACACTCTCCGAGGACGGAGGCCATCGAGGTGGTCCCTCCTTGCGTAGTAGAATCCGGGTCCTACAGCCCGGATGAAGGATTGCATCCTATTTTAGATCTGCATTTTTTGAACCGCTCAGTCAGGGGACTGAAGTTCAGCACGCTTGCACTCAAACAGGTCGTGTCTCAGATCAAGTCCGAGCACTGGTGTGTCACGATCGATCTACGAGATGCACATATCTCCATCCTTCCTCATCATAGGAAGTTCCTGAGGTTTGCTTTTGGGGGCAAAAGTCTACCAATACCGGTTCTTCCTTTGGCCTTGCACCCTCACCCCACACTTTTCACGACTCAACCACATCGACGATTGGTTGATATTAGCTCAATCAGAGCGGATGGCAGTTCGA